ATGCACACGAAAATTTACGACGAAAGCATTATATTTCCCTTAATACTACTAGTTCAATTTTTTGTTTATAATTTTTAGTAAAGCGAGAATGGGACAGAAAACTTATTTCTTCCATCAAATTATATTACCTATGTGGTTAATTCAGGTTAGATGTGTTTCCAAGGGATTAATCTCAGATCATTTTTCACGGCCATATCTGGTAATTATCAAGGCTTTAAAAATTATCTGATTATCTAACTTTGTCTAAAAACGTCTGTGATAATATTATTCATATCTATTTTGATTCCATAATATCATTGTATGCGAATACCGAAGTTAATTATCCGCATTTATAAAACTTCGTCTTTACTTATACTTCTTAAAAATATCCAGCAAATGGGTGGTAAAACTTGACATCAATTAACATCGACAGATCATATCTTATGAACTAGTGTAGGTAATGTTTCCACATTGTAATTAATTAAACACCGTGTCTGCATTCTTTCGTTCAATATGTAGGTTTTGAAATCAGGCAAATTTATTGGTAGTTGGAGAATGCGCAGTTACAAATCAAGGTTAGAAATTTTTTAACTTGTTGGTTTTCAGGCCTGCCTTTTGATTCCCTTCTCAAGTCGACCGCTAATGGCAAATGTATATTACTTTTGTAAACGCCACCTATCCTCATACAAGTTTCGATAATCTTCACCTTATTAGGTAAAAGACATACCAAAAATTTTGGCTTTGTTAACCCAGAACTGTCTAGATTAGTTATTGACACACTCGTCCTCCTTTGTTTAACAACTTTCTTAGTTAACTGCTGCACTACTGTTAATTCATTCAAAGAACCATAAGTCAATAATCAGTTTAACTGTCGGTGAACAACCAAAATGTTCCACTATAGCTTTTAGTAACCCTGGACACACAATGAAATTTTTAGGAAGGAAACATTATGCATCATGGTACGAAGATTGATTTTTGCCTCAAATGTGGAGTATTTACGTAACTGCCTACTGCACTTAGGTGATCAAGTCAAAGCTTATTTTATAAGTCACATTTTCAACACTACTCTATCGTCATTCGCCCCTTTTACTTACCCTTTATTTCACAAAGGTGAACAGGATTTTAATGTTTGCAAGACAACTATTTTTACCATAATATCGTAAAAAAATCAATTCTTTGATTCGAGTAGTTTTATTTTCCCAATTTAATATTAGTTAAAGCAATGTGCTTATATGGGTTTGATGCACCACGGTCTGATTGGTCGATTTTCTGTCTAGTTATTTGTCTAGAACGCTCCGCTCCATCTTTCTGTTTTCTAAATGAAACGCTTAAATAATAATTTCGCAACAACGCTTCATTAATGGAAATAGTAAAAGTCACGCGTCATCTCGAATTTTTCATTGTAATCTTAGCCATTTGCATGACTTTTGTATATGTTGTAGAACATTGTGTGTTCATTTTGGTTTGGGACAACAGTTTTAAGGCACGTGCTTCATTCCTTCTGTTGCATGAGAGTCCATTGAAAACAATTTAGCTTTCATTTTAGCAAAATTATAGCTGAACATTAGTGCTTAAGCGGATTTAACATTTGATATATCCGGAAGTTAAAATGAAAAAACAAGCTCTATATACCGTTGAACCTGAAAGCTAATCGGTTCTCTCACACTGTCATAGTGAGTGGAACGCTAAAGTCATAACACTCGGGATAGATTTGTCGTGCTGCAAAATTGCTATCCTGTGTTCTGGGAAGGAAACTCAAGGGATAAACTTAAACACTAAACCATCAACTATAAAACCCTTTTGCCGAATAAACCACAAAAATAAAAACAAGGGTTTGAAGTAGTAAATTTTCGTAAATAAAAAGTCCATACAAATAACACGCCAAAGCTGCAGGCTTGTGTAGGTGAAAGGCCATTTCCCTAACTTTATTAACAAGGGTGGTTGCTACCAATGAATGTCCTGTTGGTCTAAATTAAAGCGTAAAAATCGTCATTGACTTCCTATCTGCGATTTTCAGACCCACCAAATTTATTCGGAGATCTTCATGAATTTCTCGAACAATATAAGGAAAAGTGGCAGAGTGCCTTTTGCCATGTTTACTCCGCATTGTGTATTTTAGTGGCACCACAGCAAACACCCAACACGCGGAATTAACAAAATGCCCTTGTTTTGCGTAAAATTGGTTCAGCTTGGATCTAGCTAACAAGAATTTAGTAAGTAATTTTACGTGATGATCTCATTAAAGTAGCACAAATTTGAAGATTTAGATAGCAGTCCACTGTCAATACAGAACCTCACACTCCTGGTTCACCTGCCGTTTCCTGACCACCAGATAGCCACTGGGAGGTTTGTCCTAGTTATGAAACCGTTGCGGGGCTGCATCAGTGTAGATGCGTGTTCAATCAGTGTGGGAACAACACAGTGGACGCGCTCCACTGTTTCCTTGATTGCTACTTGGCTGACGGGACAACGATGCGTGCACTGACTCCGGATACCAATAGATTGATAGGGTAAAATAATTGGGCCTGATGGCGGACCAGTCAGAGCAAATCGACCCTGATTAATTGGACTTTTCACCGGAAACATGTATCTCTCACCCTTTTGCGTTGTTCCGAGTACAAAGAATAAGCAATAAGTAGATACACAGGTAGGCTTCAATTAGTACTACCACTCTTCCCTCAAATTGCACACAGGAAGTAATCGCAGCAGCCCCAATATAGCACATTCACTAGTTGAATTTTTTATTGATGTTTTAAGTCACGCTTACCCTGAGTCAAAAGGAGCTGCTCTTTGACGTCCCTGACTGGATTTCTTAAATGTCACCGTCAGCCATTCCCACCTACATATCTTGACACAATTCAAGACTTTTTTGTTAATGGTGTACTCACAGCAAGTAGTCTTTTTGGTTTATGTAAACTTATGTAAAACTACTGGGACGGAGTGAACACAAGGTATGATGGAAAATTGTAGATAACCAGTTCAATCAGAAATAGGAATAATTGTTGCCTTGACACATTCCCTGTCTTGACACTTACTTATCGCATAATACGTACGAAGCAGCTATAATGGCATCTCCGTATTCCATTTTCTCTGATGACATTGCCTCTTAGCGTTGTCTTAGTGGGCAGGGGTGTGTTTCAAAGGATTCAAATAAGAAAGAGGCAAAGGTAGAGACGATAGGAGGTGTTGGATGCCTCTTAGACCATAACTCCTAAACTGTGTGTGGTTCGAGATTCTTCAGAAGGCGGTGTGGAATAAGAGGAAGTAACGGAAATAGAAGACGACTTTTAATTTATCTAAGTAACATTGTAGACCCGCTGGGTCCATCCGATTTGAAGATTTGGGGTATAGTTCTCAATGGCCAACATAGTCTAAGGGGTAGTTGGTGGACATGGTGGGCCACCTCTGCTTGACAGTGACTGCTAACATGGTGCAGAGCATCGGCTCGATACAAGAAACTTCCTTCTCGAGATAACGGTGTTGCCTCACCTGCCTCAACGGGAACCCCGCCTGGTGAAACCCTTCCTAAACTTAATTTACCATAGCTACCGCATTACTGGATGTCCAAGGTTAAGTTCACAAAAGCCTTGTGTTAAGAAAAACTCCACAGGAAAACCTAGCAAATGCCTACCGCAGAAGTTAGTGTGGACCATTTGGAGACACGAGACCTTGCCCCTTCACTAGTACCTCCTGATTACGTTTCAAGAGGTCATCGCAAAATGTCAAAGCTAGCAAGAAACAGCCAGACAAACTATGATAGATCGATTCTACCTTCATCAAGTTATGGGAGCTGATTCGATTGAATCTTCACAATTTAGATTAAGTCACTGTTGTTGATCCTAGGACGATCTTTGATTAATATCTTGTCTTGCCTTTAAAGCTCGCACATTAATTCATGGTTTACCCCAATAATGCAATGCAAACCGCACCTTCATTACAAAATCCCGTGAACGTCAGAAACCATAGGACATTTCAATTCACTACAGCTATGCGTAAGGTGGAATATACAAAAAGATAGGGTAAACAATATTGAGATAGAATAATGCTAAGGGTGTTACTTTACAGTGGGGATAAGCAAAAGCAATGTGAATAGACGACAGCAGCAGCAGCAGTATTTACACACGCGCTTGCCGCCCGATAAATGCTTAATTAGCCCTCGGTCGACTCCAGCTGCTGCTGCAGCGACTGGAGTCGTTTGATGCGATCGAAGATCTTCACCGCAGGACCCAGCTTAATTCCGACATCAGTGAGAACACTCATTCGTTTCAGCAACATGAGACAGGCACCATCAATATCCTGTTGGCGAAAGGCCTCTGCCTCTTTGTCAAAAGCACCCTGTTCACGCAGCCATTCGGCGACTTGATCTACCGTCCACAACTTGACGTCCGCTGGGCGGGTGGCAGTGAGATGAAGCTCGGGTGCAGAAAATTCATGCTGAGGAGTCCCTAGGTTGGGGGGCAAATAGTCTTCCTCTTCCAAGTGTGATCGGGCAGGGCTTGCTTCTTCTGGCGGGTGGCCTACCTCGGGTTCTTTCGCTGAAACGGCTGGAGTAGTCGACACTGATTCCTCTGACACCTCGCAATTTCTTGAAAATTGAATGAATAACGTGTAAAATTCAAAGAAGGGAAAAGGGTGAGAATAAAATTTCAGAGTTACTGATCATCCAAAATTTGCGGTTGTTTTCACTTAATTTAATAATTTATTTAAAAATAATTTCTCGAATCTCACACTTCTCCTGAACATTTGACGCTGCTAAACTATTTAGCCTTGGTGAAACAACCCCGGAAGCCCTTCATTCAACCAAGCCACACTAGAAACGTCAGCTGAAATTTAGATCTAGATTTTAGAACTAGAGTGAATACTAGTGCAGCCAGAAAATCAAAATACCAACTGTGCTCAATAGCTGATGTTTAGAACGAAGGCATCAACCGTTTCCGATGTTGTTCTCTAGTGTAAGTTTTCCATTACGTATGAACCCACGAGAGCTCTTTCCTTCGTTATGGCTTGAAGGACCAGTTTTTATAACCATTTCCGTTAAATGTCCACCAATCTCTCAAGTTGAGCATTGAGACCCACATGGTGTCGACGGTAGAAATTGTAGTTTGTGCATTTATCGCTCTAGAAAATTCACAGACATTGGTTCGGATCTGTCAACAGGTTTTGGAGGAATCATTCAATTGCCGACCGATCCCTGCATTGTCACGTCTTTTAGTGATAGGCAGAGGATTTGATTGAAAAAAGCTCTCTGAACTTGTACATTACGAGCTCAAAAGCTGAGCTAAGTGATGATTGGCGGTTCTGTTTCTTAAATGATTGCGTCTTTGGGACGGAACAGGAATGACGATGGCATATTTTGGATGCCTACTGGACAGCCCCTACTGAAGTACCAAAGCGGATTTGAAAAACCACCGAAATGGATCGTAAAATTTCACATTTGCAGCTACACCCTTACATGTGTACTTCTGGGCAAAATATTTCCTAAACAGAATAAAACAAAAGCCAATTTTCGGGTCAAACAGAGCGTATCATTGGCAGACCGTGTTTCCAGATGTCGCGAGACAACTCCTCACCAATACAGCTGCTCTTTCCATTCCCTTGGGACAGAAAAGGCAGTGAGTTCTGTGGAAAGTAGATTAACCACCGATAAATTTCTATATAAGTGGTCGAAATTGTGGTGTACATAAGTGGGCTTTAAGGTTCAAAACGCTTCGGAGTTCCATCAACAGGGTGACTGCTTCAAGAGGCCTTCTTAGGCGGCCGCGGACGTGACACGTTCAACCAACGTGCGCAACAAAAACCAATAAGGCACCGACGCACGCTTACCCAGGCGTCTGACTTCCCGCGGTATCGCTCACGGGAGGTTGATTTTGACAGGCGGGCGTAGTCCCCTCAGCTGGCGGCCCCAACTCCGCCACTGCAGTCGTGACAACCGCCGTGGTACCTGCGTCACCGGAGGAAGGGCGAGGAGAACACGCGGACGGATTGGAGGTCTGCACTCGGTAGCCTTCGGCTTGACAGGCAGAGCAAATCCACGGCAGCGACTGGTCTGTATCGGCCGGTACAGCAGGGTTGTGACACGTAGCATGGAAGCCCTTGTCACAGGCATCACATATTAAAATAAGACCCTAAAGATAGCAATTAAAATTAGGTTTGAAAATATGGGACGATAGATCAGAGATGCTCCGTTATTCATGTCCGTTTTATTAGGTTGTATTAAAAGCCAAGTTGTTCAGCTATTCGGTGAACACTACAAAGAATTTTGTGGAGGAAGTCTCCTGGTCGTTTACGTACAATCTCACATTACCGCCACAGAAATCGTCAACGATTAAAAAAACAACTGACAGGGCTTCGCTTTTAAAAAAAGAGGTGCTTACTCCGTGGATATGAACTTAGGATATGCAAATGATTACGTGGTGGGAGAAAAGGGGAACGAAAAACAAACAACTTGACAACTGGCTGTCAACGAGCTTGGTGAAAGATCTATACTCACCCCAACTTCCTTGTTCTTGCAAACCGAACAAGACTTGCAGTCTGCACACTGCCAGACTTCCTGCCTTGCACGTTCAGTAACCTCCGGCCAAAATTCTAAACACCTTGGGTGCGCTACAACAGGAAAGAGCTAAACTAAGTATTAGTAAACCACAATCGACCCAACAAAACCAACTCCGAACCGTGGCATACCTTTCGCCCGAACACTGAGGTCCAGGGGAGCATCACTGTCTTCCCTCCCTTCATCTAATTTGCGTTTAAGTGATACTTGTTTGGTGCAAGTGATTTCAGATTGTTGACAGTGCGTAAAAAGGTTGCATAAATTCAATTTCAAGGGAACGACTCCGTGCCGTAGATATTGATGCACGTTCGTCAGGACCACCTGAATGTCGCGCACAATTGACGAGAGTGCTGTAACTGTGAGAGGGCATGTCCGAAATTTCGTTACTGGTATGCTACCGCCCCACGACAAGAAGTAGCAGTCCGTTTTCAAGCTGCGCTGCAAGCTGCACACAAGACAGATTGCGAGCTTCAAGATCTACCCGGCCCGATTCAGGGTGTTCGCTTACTAATCTGATTGACGAGCTGAATCTCGATTGCTATGAAATTCATGCACGTGGAAACACTAGTCCAAATGACACTGTGACCACTGAGGGTCAGTTAATTAGTCTAACTCGTGAAAAGCTAACCATATGACTTGTGAAAACCTATTATTGCTACGTGCTTATAAGGTAAGGAGAATTAACCTACCTACGTCGTTTATCCAGGAGCAAGGAATGCAGACAAACCAGACACTTTTGGTGATTATTTATAAGGCTGTGCCTTATCACAAACCCTTCATGGGTGCGTATGAGGTAGTGACCCAAAACTACCATAATGGAACTGTTCTTTGCACGATCGCTAAGTGATAGCAGTCGTCTGCCATTTTCGAATAGTATCGGAACTCCAAAAGGCTCAGATGGTGGGGTGTAGTGGAGCTCGCGTTCCATAACACCGCTTCGCTCCTGTTGTTGCGCCTCACGACAGCAAAACAATTTCAAGGGATGCCACAGAGACATTTCTCTTAATTCGACCCCCGACCGGATGCACAGAATCTTCCCCAATAAATATACAAGGGTGTATGTTAACTGTGGCACCGAGGCGTGACCAAAAAAGTTCGTTTTCCAAAGAAACTCTTCAGCAGGACTTGTTTCAGGCTGGAAATAGCCAAAAAGCTCTGTGGTGCAAATCTTAGTTGAAGGAATCTTCCTCAAACAAAATGCCTGTCCGTGGGGTGGAGGAGGGACCGAGTTGTTGACAAGAGGTCCCCGGATGGCCTGGAGAGCAACACCCGAGGGGAAAGGGACATTGTGTTGGTAGTACTGTTGAGCAGATATTGCTTGTGGCCTAAGTCCACATGGTGGGTTAATCGGTTGGGGCGAAAAGCGAGTTGAACAGTTCCTTAAGGAACAAGTGGGCGAAAAAGCACAGGACAATGCAGTCGGTGGTAAACAGGGTTGCAACACGGGAAACACTGAAGTGGGTAAATGCCCTCCTCTTCTTCCTCCATAGTGCCAAATTCGATTTAGCGCTTGAATTTGGGTACTTTCAATCACATTCGGCAATTCATTCTTTGGGTAGTACGGGATTGGGTTTGACTTAACGTCCGGCACACTCAATGAAAACGCATATTGATTTTTCATACTTTCACCAATAGAGGCAATATCTGGGTTGTTTTTTAGCTACCTTTGTGTTACTTCCAATTGCAGTCTTATAAGCCAGTTGGCTCAATTCAAAGTTTATTGGGTGCGTGACGTGCCCAAAGCTACGCATTTGCCATTTGACACTTTTGTAAAGGTATCGATCAGCCAAAACGAAATTCAACTTCAAATGGTTCGATATTAAATACACGTGAACAGGTATGTGGATTCACACTGCAGATGCACAGATATGGCAAGTTGAGAGATCAGTACATCAAAGTTTGCAGTTAACATTCTTGCAGAATATGGCAATTTAGTGTCTGGGGTTAGGAAAAGTTGTAGAACCCGAGGTCGTGTTTTACCAGTCATGGTCTTCCAATAATCAAAAAATCTGGTGTTTTATTAATATTTTCACAATTCGCAGCGAGCCATCTGTTCTGGTAATGTGGAATGTAACAAATGTGGCCGCTTCAAAGATGTCAGCAGACTAGTTGTATAGGATTCGTTGAATTTTATGATCTACCTAGCAAGTATCTTGGATTCGTGAAACACGTTTCCTACGCTTCAGTAAAGTTGACATTCGGAATTCACATTTGTGGATGTTACTGGAGCTCCCTAGAGCTGACCTAAAAGTAGCCCTTTTAGAAAACTACGAAGACATTGAGTTGACCCATAGATGATCTCATAATGCAATTCATTTCATTACTTGTCAATTTAAATTTGAACAAAATCAGTACGCACGAATACCGACTAATGGATTTTATATTAAAAACCTCTTTCTGTTTGGAAACTAATGTTGACAAATGATTAGCATTAACTTAACAATGGAGAAGTGTCATCCGGGCGAAAAAAGACTGATAGAATACATTCCCCAAAATAACAGAAACGTCATTTCCTAGGAGTCAAGATAAGACGTATCTTGATCCACAAACCGTTCAGAAAAAAACGGTGAACGCTGACCAGTGGAAAATCAGGATAATCACTCGTCTTTACTTGTTCTCTTCTACAAAAGACAGTAAACCTGTCCATTCGTAAAAGCCTGATAACCAGTTCCATTAAAAATTTGGATTTCACGTCCCCTTAAAAAGAATAATGGAGATAGAACCTTGTGGAATCGTTTCATGTGAATGCCTTTTAGTCTACGCAATGCAATCCAGACGTTTAAAGACTCTTGGACCTTCAGTTCGTCACTGTCCTGGTTTGGTGAAATATTGTGTGCGTCCCATTCTGCGTACCACTGAAATGTTGTCACCTGTCTGATTTGTAGCTAGAAAATCCCAACACAACAATCATCAGAAAGACTGAAACGGCACTTAATGATTGAGGATGCCACAGCGATTCTCACGAACGTCTGATACTCGAAAATGAAGAAAAATTTCCCAAACTGTCGTTAACTAGGTCATTTAAAATCAACTCACACAAACTTAAACGGGTTCAGATGCGTTACAGTACCCTCCTAAATGAGTGGTGGGCGATAGAAATCCACTGCAAGGACATGAGTTCACAATTTTTGCCATTTCTAAGCCTGTTATTCGTACCTTCCGTGAGACACCTAATCGGTGTTCCCCTCACGGGTTCAGATATCTTGGCTATGTCTTACACTTTACAACCAATGTTCGCCACACAGAAGGAACTACAAATGTCGTTGATGAACCCACCTATGACGCAGATTCACCAACATCAATTTTTTACAGTTGACAGCAGCACAAACAGATGGTGTGGATTTTTGACATCTTTAAAATTATTATCTAAACCTGGATGAGTTGTGTGTAAATATGAAAGCCCGTCCCTGTGTTCCCACCCAATTGAGGGACCGAGTTTTGAAACATTTACATTCGGTTTCACATTGCGCGGCATCAGTTCAACTGTACGCTTATTAACAAACCGTTTTGTCTGGCCTAGCATTCACAAAGCTGTCCGCTGATGGGCTACAACTTGTTTGCAATGCCAACGGAGCAAAGACCACCGACACAATAAATCGTCCCCAGAACAGTTTTCTCTCCCACGCGCGTATTTCCGAAATGACCCCTTCCCCATCAAAGACAGTGTGGCTGAATCAGTCGACCGCGCGTTTAGTAAATTTTAGGCGCCGTTAATCGACGACCTTAGTTCTATCACCTGCGATCTGGATATTTCGCGATCTCCATCGCCTTTATGGATGCGAACACTTTCGTTAAAAATATGTATCACCCAGCGTCGAAAGATTTGTGATAACTTGCTATGGAAACTAACGCACACATTTGGGTTTTAGCTTATAACAAACTTCTGGGAAAAATTGTAGGGATTGTTTTTGGCATTTATAATATTTGATATGAAAAATTTTAGGAGGGCCAAGAAACTACTCGCACAAATACATGCAAAAATACCATCAATAAATACAAACTACCTAAGCGAAATGGATGGGGAATGAAGGGCTCCATGCTTTTTTTGCAACTCTGTAGTCAACCAAAAGAGTACGTGAAAGTTTCTGTATCGTTTTAGCGTCGATCCAGCCGCCCCCCCCCCACCGAAGTCGAGTATTATGGAAAACATTGCATAATCGATATCTGCACGAGCCCAACAAATTGAACAAACTCCTGGCAGATTCTGGTTTACCGGATGAAGCCGTCTATTCCCTCACGATTGCAATTTGGCTCTCACTTCGAAGCAATACTGGAAACTTATTCAAAGAAGGATCATGCAACGTGTTTAGCTTCGATAGAGAAGCAACAACGTTTTAGATAGTTAACCTGAGCAAGCAATTAGAACAATGAGAGGAGCCAAGTTCCTGTAGGCGAAATTATGTTCTACATGGAACGAAAGACATGGAAAGGTTGTTTCAATTTGCTTATCAACAATTTATCTGCTTGGAGGTTAATACCTCAGCCAAGTATCCGGAATTATGCGGGTATTTGTAAAACTACTAAGTATTACAAGTGAAAAATGACATGATCTACAGCCAGTCCTAGTGCTCAGTGGCCACGAGGAATGCGAAGCCTACATTATTCAACTCCACTTCACACCAGCGTCAGGCGAAACCAAGAAAGTGGTGACCCATATAAGGGTGTCAGCATTTGCGAAGTAAGGCGAGTTGGCGGGTCAAGATCAAATAATCTATATTAAAAGTCATAATTGTTTTATAAGCTAGGAAGCCGTTATGAGCCTTCAATTCTCTCTAATCCTAATCCGTCAAAGCCCATCACGCGGATGTTGCAACCAGATTTAACGACACTTTCCATACCATTGCGGATAAATAAAGCAATGCTTGAGAAACACACCCTGTAAGCCGCATTCGCTGCAAACCAAAAACTTCTCCTCGGTAGCCGACTGTTGGCAGCGACAGCACACGCTGGTCATCCCAGAGATCTCAGTCTCCACTTTTTTCGACGTTTCCACCTCCGTAACCGTGGGTTCAGCGAAGGAAGAAGTCAGGGAGACCTGATCTGGTGTAACTAGACAGGAATCAGGAGTACTCGTTGTCAACGCTGCCGCTGTTGCATTAGCGTCAGGTTGGAAGGAGGCTGTCACCATGGCCTCGGGTGTAACAGTGAAGACGGTGGGGTTGTAGAGCCCTGGATACATCAGCATGGCAGTTGGGGGAGGCGCACTGCCGCCCGGTGCAGGTGGAGGGGGGGCAGGAGGGGCCAGGGAAAGGGTTGGCATTGGAGTCGCCGAGACCATTACTGTGCCGTCCAAAGGAACGAAGGTCGCAGTTGGAGCCGTCACCGGTACGGCTTCGAGTTTCAAGCGCTAAATAAGGTAACGAAGACCAATCCAATCTGAATAATGCTGATTCTAACCTACAAATATCTGGTAGATGATTCACTTAACTAGACTGAGCGTTCCGATTTTCTCAAGAATTGACCCAACTTTGATGCAACTGCACCCACGGAAATTAACAGTTTTTAGAATGTAAAAGGTGGTAACAATAGAGGCGGGGTTGCGAATAAGTCTTTATTGGGATGTCGTGCGTTCAGACAAACAACGAGTATTGAGTATTAAACCAGCCTGAATTGTGAGTTTTGCAACATTAGTGGATTTGAGAGGATAGGGGAACGGCAGTGAAGTTGCTCGCAACACAAGTACGAGCCCTGCTTACTAACACTAACATTTTCGAACCACGAAACCACCTGCCATGGATAACAAATGGTTAAATAATCGTGAAATTATTGACTGCTGTACTTGACGTGATTAAATACTATGCTAAAGACAGGCGATCAATTAATGGTTTTGCCTTTACACAGTAGATTTTTAAAACAGAATAATGCTTACGTGAGTAATTGCATCGATATACCCAAACAGCTAGAGTATCAAGTTAAGAGTCATGGGAACTGAAATCTTCGCTACACGCAAGACTCGAAAAACGCAGACGCGCACGGCCTAAAAATGGAAGCGCTGCGCGTGTATGGAGAGTAGAGGCTAACATGCAGTCGCCTAATCGCGGTTGCGCCAATTGCTATTCGCTTCTCGCACCCAATCGCACAACGTGACCTTGAACTCAGTTTGTCAGTTATTAATTGGACGACTTACATTGGAGAAAAATTTAGAGGCATAGCTCGGTCCAGCGGGAGACGGCCACAGCCACTCAGGGGGCTGGCAAACACAGGGTATGATAATTTTGGTATTAGCCTTACCATCACACCTCTCGCACACACGCGCAACCACATTTCGGGGTTGTGACTCACCCCCAATCGCGATATTCGAATGCCCCCTGGAAGTGCCCTTTACTTGGGGAAGTTGCTAAACGAAGAAGCCCCTTTAAATCACATGTCTCGACAACGCTTACAATCGACAGTCCTATGTACATTGTAGCGGGAGGGTAGCATTGCCAAAGCGTCATTCAGGTTACTTCCAGTGAAAGGGGGATGCTAACATTTTTTTGTTGGAGCGCTCGAAAACCCGTTGTTTTCGAATTGACGCAAAGCAGATTCTGGATTCGCTTACGCTAGATCATTCTAAATAAAGTTCTTATTCAAATAACACGTCTCAAGTTCATGGTGTGGGAAATTCAAAACATTTGTTCAAATATAACAAAAGCTTTTAGGGTTGATTTCAAGTGCAGAATGTCAGTACCAAGTGATGTCGCAATGCGTGGATTCTGTGGATATTTTTCCACGCGCGTGATCACTTTAAACACCAAATCCTGCACTAATGGCAAAAACAAACGCCCGTCCTCAGTCCGTGTATGTATTCGGCTGCGTGGTTTGTGATTAATGACAAGCTCTACCCTGTGCCTCCTTTTATTAGGTAGGTCTTATAGTAATCGAGGAGGGGATGCTTTCCCTCCATTAAGGGGAAGGCAGGCACTAAGTCGGTCATTGAGTCCTAATAATTGCGCAGACTAACCATGTTGTACCCTTTTTCCTTGGTGACGGAATATTCTATAGAAAGAGGGAGAGGGCACTGTGGATTTGCCAAAATGATTGAAAGAAAACTACAAGGCATTGGGACGGCTAAAGTAGGCAACATTTCCATTTTGTTCGGACGAAGAAGTAAAATATTTTGCCCAAGAAATAAACTGCTGAAGCCTGGAAGGGGTCTGAGTAACGGAAAAGATGGTGCAAATAGTCAATCATGGCTGGGCTGGGGCTAATGGTTACGGGTGGATTAAGGCAAGCGCAATATTAGTGAGTTAAGGAGTTCGAAATATACACAAGTGGATTAATGCCGGAGCCGCATAAAGAAATTGGACTTCTGGTCTAAAGCTTGGCACCGAAACCACGGTGTGCTTATTTTAAAGGACAACATCGAGGGCCCATCTAGATCATGGAGTTTGCACTCTATATCTGCCTGAGTCGCTTCAGAAAAGGTTGATGGCTGAACGACGAAAACTTAAAAATCCATAAACTTAACTTGGGAGGGCGCATGCACGCGCGCGAACACTGCGCGCGAATGGACGCTTGAAAAACGACACGTCGTGCCGAGCCGCACGGGTCGGTGAGTCATTGCAAGAGACAGGCGGCTTGCTATCGCGCCGCGCCAAGGCAAAACCTTGCGCACGCATGCCTAATTGGCCTGGGGAGGAGAGAAGGGGAGAAAACACACACGAAAACACACTAAAACACGACCCCGGTTGAAGGGGCGTTGAAGCGTGGGCGAGCTCCCCGCAGAACCAATCGGAAGTGAGCGAGAGTCGGCCTTTATGTCTCTCACAGCAAACGCGCACGCGCGCTCTGCGATGCGAAAATATTGTGAATGCACACACGCGCCGGCAAGCGAACGCCTACAATTACAGTGCTGTCGCCGCTACCGCACATACACCACGCTTTGCACACGCCTACCCACCACTAACGGCAAGAGATGGTACAAAGTAACAATGTGCGCGCTAATGCGCGTACACAAGCCTTCGAATATAAACAAAACCACATTAGTTTCTGTTAAAAGCAGAAAATATTGGGGGACAAGGAAGTGAGAGGGCACAGGTTTATTCTTACCTTATCTAATGCAGTCATTAGGTTGTCGGGCGGAGCGGGTAAAATGGGCTGCTGCGAGCAGGAAGTGAGGATCTTCTTCGCCTTAATGCTAGGTGGGCGGCCACGTTTGCCGCCAGGAAAAGGAAGTCTGCGCGCTATTGGTCTACCAGGAGCGATCGATAGCACGCCATGGGTTTTACCATTGATGGAATCGAGTGCTGGGGCTATAGGGGGCTTCCCGAATGTCCCATGAGTGGGCAGCTTGCCAGCAAAAGGTCTTCGGTTAAGGTGAAATGCGGCAACGGATGTGCGCTTCCTATCCCCTGTTTCATCCAGAACGTACCGTCCATCGACGAGCTTGGCAAGCTTTCCGTAAGTGGCTTCACGATCCAGACAGATTCGGAGGGCGGGACCCGTTAACTCTGGAGTACTTGCAGCTCCTTGCTCTGAATCGGCGTCACCACTGGGAGGGGTGGCAGGTGTTAGCTGTTTAATAGCTTGTTCAATTTGAAAGATGGAAAATCCTTGGGTAGTGTCGCCCCCTTCCGGTATAAGAGAACGGATAGCCTCAAGAATGCGACGGCTAATATGCGGCCGATTGGTGATTCCCACAGCAGACGCAGCTGTTTTTCGCCACTTTGAAGGATTTCGATAACTCATATTGCCCTTGTAATCAACACACACGACGGAGCCATTTTCAGCTAAACGGCTTAGACATAGTTGCGTCTCGGATGGGGAAATGTTATGTTGACGTCGAAGAAGACAGGAAATACGTTCCAGATCTGGTCGAGCTTTACGGTCCCTCAATTTATCAATGGCTTCAAGAATAAGCCCACGATGAAAATCGCTCTTTTCTAAAGAAGCCAGGCTAGCCTCGGGATTAGTATTAGTTGAAATAACTGAGGTCGTTGGAACAACCGGTTTGACCTCTGGTTTACATTTAATTGGCGGCGTAGATTCAACTGCACCGGCGTTAAAGGTTGGCGCAAGCGATGTGGTCGAAGTGGTTATTGACGTTGTCCCATTTTGGATCACAGACAATGAAGCATTTGATGTAAGACAAACATCACTTGTGATTGGAGCTGTCAAGACAACCGTTGCCGTAACGGGTGGAGACGCGTTGCTTACACTCCCGGGTTGGTTGAAAGAGGAAAAATTTATTGGAGTTCCGTTTAGTACGGGTTGCGGCTGCGCGACAAGCATAGAGCCTGTCATGTTGAAAGGAAACTGTCCTCCTGGGCCTTGAAATAAAGTCCCGGTTTGTGGCGAAGCTATGCAGGGTAGCACTGAAGTTGAGCCCGAAAAGGGAACTGGGAATGACGCAAAAGCGGTGTTTGGAAAAAATGCTGGAGTCAGAATGGGTGTTGGTCGACCAGTCTGCTGGGCACTCATCTGTTGGTTCGGAATTATTCCGTTAACCGTCAATAAAGCCGTAGTGCTGGAAGGCGGCGGTCCGACAGAGCCGTTCGCAGTCAACATTAAGCTTGCGAAAATGAACGAAACCGCGCCTGTGCAAAACTGCCAGCAAGCTAGCGCTGAAGTCAGCCAACCTGAATGCTAGTTGGGTCACGCTGGCATAGTGGTCGTTGATGATTGGCTATCGCATTCTGTCAGCCGTCAATAGTGAATTGCGCGCGAACAAAATCCTGCCAATCGCTCTGCAGCAGCGCACGCGTATGTGCGCACAACTTGTGTATGTCTATCCCACTAACCCTGTGCTAATTATGTGTGCATACGTGCGTGTCTGCGTCCTATAGCTAGAACGTGAGTGCCGTGCCTTGCATGTCTGGCTCACTAATCTGATTTGTCTATGTGTGCGACTTCGCAAAAGCGCGCAATTATAGGCCGAGATTAGGCGAAAGGGGGAAAGCAAACTGTAACACGAAGGCGCAAACCAACAGCTCATCAGACGAATGCGCGCTACGTGTCATACGCCTGCATGTCCCGGGGGTTGCAAGCGTCGGGACTGCTGTGGTACGCGGTATGGCCTACTCCGTCGTAAATCACCCCATACAGTCAGGCGAGAAAAAATTCTGTGTCATCAGTGGTAATTGGGCCATAATTGCCGCATCCTGCGACGAGTTAGTGCGTGAAACATGCTGCTAAGGTCCTGTTTAACAAAGTTAACTGCAGCAGTTGTTTTGACGCGCTAGCTCTAAATTTTAGTAAATGTAGTCTTCACCGTTTTTTATTTTTACTTTTCGTGCGCACTATTTAGTCCAAATTTTCTGTACGAAACCCAAGGCATGTTTCTATCGAGATTGAAGCCTACCATTTAGCTATTCGCATCCGAAACCAGTGTTCGCTGGTTTTCGGGACTAATCAAAGTGCGGAACTTACCTCTCATTACAAATGCAAGGAACTTTTTAACACGATTGTTTGAGCTGTGTTCAGAAAGTCACTACAAATTTTCTATAATTTAATCCCCTAACATCGTAAGCGAATCGCGTTTACATCCCCTCAGATGTTAGCAAAAAGTTTAAAATTCGTTTATCTAAATGCTAACCATTTTCAAGGTTAGATATACCGTTTACTACGTGTCGTATATTAGAGTAGGCCTAAATTTGGCCGAATGTTATTGCGTCAAGTGCATGTTTTAAGATTTCATAAATATGTACCAGCAGGAAGTAGATGTGGTCTTGGCAAAAGAAATTTCACGAGGAAGACTGCCGCAAAACGTGTAGTCGAAGTCCTAGGAAATCTGCTTGAAGAACAGGTCTGCAAACCTGGATCCCAAATCATCTGTTCAGCGTGTCATAGGGAAAGGCTTGCGGCCATGTCCCTTCTAACCGACAATGGAGACGAGCTGTTATAAAAGTGGCCTTTACCCTCAATTTGTGAAGTCTTTCTGTGATATAGTGTGAAAGGACTGGTTTATGCCCCTCCACCTCCCCCATGTGTTGAATGGGATAATTACCGAGGCTCTGGGGGCTGTCATCCTAAAAATTCGACTTCAAGACTACACTGCACAGTTTTAATAACTCCGGAACACTTCCTCAAAAAAATTTGTAGAATAAAATTTCTGTGTTCATAATTAAACCTATCAAGTTCAAATTCTCTTCAACAAATATTCATTCTTGTCCAGGAATCTCAATGAAGTCAAATTTATAGGGGTCCTCCGTATTTGCAGGCTCCTGAGGTCGAAATACAACTTTTGGGAGAATGGGTACTTACTCCAGGGCCCACTTCCTCTGTGAAAAACATAAGGCCCAAACCTCCCTTCGAGGTGACTTCACGTTTCGCGTAAAGCTTAGGTTTTGTCTACCATCTATTAAAACCATCAATAGGCTTTGATTGAAAACCAGGATTTAATATTCCTAAACTTCGCCAAAAGTCGAAATATGGAAATGGTCCAGCTTCATATATTCTCGACCTATCAGAACCTGATAATATTTGTCTGCCAAACCTGCTCGTTAATTAGTAGACTCACGTTAGGTCATGATCTGAGTGACTCAAAAATTGCCAAAACAAGTTATCTTTTATTATAATTTAACTGAAGAATCGATAAACTGAGAAAAGAAGAGCAGGATGCGTGTTTAAAGCGGTTGTACGAACGACTGCACCTTTTTAGGCTGCCGTTAGTCAACCTTTAGTTCATGTATGGAAGTGATGTGGTTCTACGGCTACGATTCGAAACAAAATCTAGAATCGGTGATCTACTTCAGGTAACGTCTTCAATAAGTGAAGTCAATACGAGAATGACGCACGCCTGAATCATTCCAGTCACTCCAAATTTGTCAATTTTTTTTATTCCCACCGGTAATGAAGTGACGGATCAACAGGGATTGAAATTGCTCCTCACAACAGGACTCAAGCTGTCTATGCGGCTACGGGTGTTGCTAAAAACGGGTACATGACAAGCTTCGCGTAAATATGCTCAGACTCAATACAGGTGGAAGTTTGACTTGGTATAAGTTCACTTGAGGCAAGTAGAAAACTCAGCCCAGATAACATTTTCTCCCGAAGAATCACTCCAAATTCAGTAGCCAGTTCTATGCATTTCGCTCGATATCTTAAGTGGTTCATTAGTTCTCTTATGCACATTTTGTCATATCACTAAACAATTACCAGAATTTACTCGATGGATATGCTCTTCAGTAGTAGCTATTGCATGGTAACGCTTCTGAACTATTCCAGTGAATCATATAAAGCCAATATTTTGACATGCCCGGTGCGTCAAAGGATCACGGCCGATTCCTCGTAACTTTCGCAGCAACTTCTAGTAAGAACTTATATTTACTGATGTAAATTGTTCCTTATCACATTTTAGTTGAAGTCAAAACTGAATGATTAGAGCGTTTTTTAACTCCTAGTGAAGAATTCAAATTAATTCAACTGACTTCGACCTGGAGAAAACTGTAAAAAGATAAAATAAAGAAGGAAAAAAACACAATCAGTTTGGACTAAGGAGAAGTCAGATTATACATAACATGACATTGGCCATGTGCTGAAGTCGATGACGAAATGAGGTAAGAATCGGAAACGCCCCTTGCAAGGCAGTCGACGTTAGGGTGGCCACCTCAGTTGGCCAGAAACAGAAGGGAGCTCTGGACGACGGTTGGTGATGGGACGAGTGTCCGCGACCAACACTATCGTGAGGGCTGAAAGAGGGCTTTTGATGATTTGACGCGATAGGAGCAAGATGCTCAACGCCCACTTCCTCATGGCTACATTTCGTTGCCCTGTAAACCGACTGATACTAATGAAGCAGTGGAAAAACGGTGATCCAGAGAAGGGTGCCAACCACACACGCGCATCGCCTGGAATTCTCGAGGCTCTAACAACGAACGCTACGTTGTTTGATAACTTCATTAATTGCTTCACTATTTAAGCAATCCAGTAGCAAAGGTGATCGGTAGTGTTCTAACCGAATTTCCCCAATGTGTGTAATCATCAGCTACTGTATGAGGTTTGTTTTGTGGTACTTTTGGCATTGCTGGAATCTGATTGGCACAGAGCTTAAAATAGCCAATTTGCTCAAGGAATCACCACCTAACTGAATGCGGGTTAGTGAAGGCCCCCGCAATGAGGGCAGTGTGGGTGTGACAAGAATTGGTCAGATGAAAACGCTGTTTCAGGTATCGGCTTCGACCTATGGGTTCCTTCTCTTCCACTGAGCAGAAATTGACAGATGTTTGAATTGCCTAACTTAAACGTCTGTTTATCAAGCATCAAGCTTTCTATTCTTCTTAAAAGTCATTACCACATTAGTCGAAACCAGCATAACTATGCTGTCTAAAGCATACCGGTTTGCCGTACAAACCAAACCCTGTTCCCGCATCACGAAACTGGTAATTACGTGCTCTAGAGATGAGCCTGACTTTGTTTGCTTAAAAGGCACTTTGACAAGCATACACAGACACAAGTACTCCAATTTTGTTCCAACCCACCAGTGTTATAGCGGTGTCACTTAAACTATTGTGTGAATTTGTAGAAGTACCAGCCTCTGTTCTGAAATAGTCCATTTTGCTGGGCAACAAAGTTCTGAACTAAACCTCACTTTCCTAGCTCACTTATCCATTAAACTAGCCAAGTGAAGTCTCTCGAATTCCGAATCAGCATATTGTCGATCCTGCTCGGAAGGTTCGTCTCATTCAGTCTACGGCCGGATACACTCCAATACCAGTTACACTGCTTTCGTGTGTTAAAAACCACCCAGGGAATGCGATTTACCTGAGCGGAAAGGTCTACTATTTAAAGGCGCACAACTATGACATTCACCAGGCACCAATGCTTTTGGAATAGAAAATCTATAATAAAAACCGTAAGTCCGTGTGACTTAAGCGTTCGCATTCGACTTTAATCTAAAGGCGACTGAGCCGCCACCACCCCCGTCAGCACGGGAGACACATAAATTGTTTGCCTTACGGGAAAACGTTTATCTTCGTATTCGGCGTTCCGTATTCCGTTGGGAACGCCACTGCCTCTGAATTGTCACGACTTTTCATCCTCAATGCAAAATCGTCATCTCCACCATCTCGACATTCTCCGTCCCTTAACTGCGCCTTTGCTCATGTCCCCGACATATTTTCGTTTCACAAGAAAATGTACTTAGTGAACTCATCGAGGAGTGAATATAAACATAACAACTCGTGCCTCCCTTTACGTCACGTGAGCAAGCAAATGCTGATGATTTCTAGAAGGACTTCCCTCAGCCAGCTCCTGACCCACATCTTTTGGGTTCATGTTAATGAGATACCCTAACTCCCCACCCCTAGTGCACCTGGTGCTCACCTACCCCATGACTGACTTTTCGTCCATGAGCTACATTGAATACGGCCGTGCAGCGGGTAGAGGTAAAATTGACGCCTTATTCAGTTTCAGTGGAGGGGCCCCACTGAGGAGGTCAGGCGCCTTCTAAACAAATTCACGCGAACCACTTCAGTTGTATTTTTGTGCCCTGAGGTGAAACCCAACCTTCATGGATGACCTATTTTTTTGTTAGAATCAGCAGGTCTTGAGCATTACATAATTCATGA